CCATCAATTTCTTTCCTGGTTGGTCTATCCATGTCTACAAAATAAAAATAATAAAATTAAAAAGGAGCACACAACAATTCTTAATTTCAGACTAGAGCACTGGAAATCTAGACTTTCCCAATCATTGTAGACTTGAGTTGGTCTCATGTTTTACATTATTCTCTTGGGTCTACGTCACAGCTCACACAATAACAACACAAGTTTGTCCCCCGCCGGAACTCCTGGATTTTGGTTATACATGTATCATCTAACATGGCCAGCTCTGATAAAATCTGATATCTCTCCTACACAGCTGGTTAATAATATATTTTCTACTGATGAATATTCGAAACAGAGTAAGTGAGTGGGTACTACATATGTATACGGTTCTATTTTAAATGACTGCATAATGAATACTACATGCAGTATACAGTGTGTCGCGAGCTCTTGGCTGCGCTGGAGCCCACATTTCCTACCCCTCTCCGTTCGGCAAACCTCATGGGGGTTGTAACGAGGTCACAGGTCAGGCGTGCACTCGTCAGTTGTCTGATACGGTAAAGAGTTAGATCTTCCGGAAGACCACTGCACCAGAGGTATGTGGATTGTTGATGAGGTACTACGTGTTTGGAACGGGGAGTTGAACACTAAGCACTGAAAGAGAAGAACTCACAATAAAACGTTATGGACTCGCGGACGGACTTGTGTTTTCATTTCAAGACGTACATGCAGCAGGTTGAACTTCTACGACAGATATAACTTGGTTACCGCTTCCTAACTGTAACATTAACTGAACTTTACGCCTTTTATTCACATTTGTGACCTTGAAAATGTCGCGTTACGGCATCATCGCCCTTTTGTAAAATAAAGATTTTTTTTTAAAGATTATTCAAAGAGCAACAATGCGACCACGCGACAATGCGACACATGGCCAACATGTCGCGTTGTCGAATTGCAGCGCTTTGGTTAATTTTGACTCGTTTTGCTTGATTTTGTAAGGGCGTCAATGCGACAATACCACAACGCGAGAATGTCCCTTCCATAGCGATCCGTGCAACTAAAACTGAGTTATGAAATAGAAGTCTAACATGCCAATTAAGAGATAAAGTGTAAAAATGCGCTATTGCAGCTTCTGATTTCAGAGATCTTCAAGAAGGATTATTAATAATGGGATAGGTGATGAGTTCAACTGCATGCCGAGTCTATACGCTGTGATTAACACTAATGCTCTGAGTCAATACATTTTGTCAAATGTATGACATGTATTACCAGTAGGAACATATTGTTTATACTCGTCCATATTTTTGACAGACAATATTATTTACATGCTCGGTAATAGTGCTGACGGGCATTATTGTGTGTTTCCATGCTTTGTTCAGGTGAACAATGGACTTGTCCTTGCATGTGTTTGTGACGGGTGCCACTTGTGTGGCATGATGCGCTCACCTTTTCGCGAACACCCGTTGGATGGCCTGAACCACTACGGATTTTTATCGCACATCAGTCTGATACACCGTGGTATAACTGAAATACTGGTCAAAGTGGTGTTTAATGCGATCACCGTAGTGTGTTACTGCAACTGTCTAAATTGTGTGTAGTGATGTTATGAAATATGCAAAAGAAAGCATATTCAATTATCCAGTTGATTTGATTAGAATATACTTGCATCAGTGTATTTTATTAACGCCCCAAACCGTAATGTAAACACATATAATATCAGATCATATACACGCATGGTGCCTTGACTTACTACTAGCTTTAATAGGCCATCCCGGAATAAAATAGTTCATCTGTTTTTGTTTGTTTACAAGAAATGTATTTCAAACAATATCCTCATTAGATGAGAAGGTATGTAAAAGAATTACGAGGGGTGTTCGTTAAAGATTTCCCCTGACCCACTTCCGATGGACCTAGTGGAATGAAACTTGGCATGGGTATTAGTCTTTCTCCACATAGGAACCACCAAGAGTAACACACTTCTGACATCGTTTTATGCAACTATGGAGACCTCGCTTGTAAAAGCCCTCACTTTGCGTCTCAAACCAGGACTTGACTTCAGAAATCAGTGTTTCATCATCTGTGAAACGTTTTCCCTTCAAAAATGACTTCATGGATGGAAAGAGGTGGAAGTCTGATGGTGCAAGGTCATGAGAGTAAGGAGGATGTGGAAGGATTTCATAGCCACAGGACCGCGCTTCTGTCTGGGCAACATGAGAGTTGTGTACTGGAGCATTGTCTTGCAGGAGACGGACACCCTTGGTCAGCATGCCACGCCTCTTAAGCTTGATATTGTGCCGCAATTTCCGCAGCAGTGAAGCATAATAAGCTCCTGTAATTGTGGTACCCTTTGAAAAGAAATCCCTTTGCTTCAATTGCATCGACTGAACTTTAGTCTCAGGATCATAGTGATGGACCCATGTTTCATCCTGTGTGATAAGTCTGTCAAATAAGTTTGCCTGTTTTTTTGGCACATGTCCAAAATATCCTTTCAGCAATTGACTCGTTCCTGCTTTTGGAAAGGTGTGAGCAACCTGGGAATCTATCGTGCAGACACCTTATGCATGTTCAAATTGTCATGGATGATTTTTTCCACAGACCCTACACTGATCTTGACATCTTGTGCTAACTGGCGAACAATTATACGTCGGTCTGCCAAAATTGCGGCCTCCACTTGATGAATACTGTCCTCATCAATGGCTGAATGGGGGCGACCAGGAATGGCAGCTGTTTCCACAGATGTCCGACCACACTTGAACTGGCGATGCCAGTGTTTAACAACGTCATATGATGGGGCATCTTCCCTATAAGTTGCTTTCATTTCATCGAAAGTTTCTTTTGATGTGCGACCTTTCAAATATAAAAACCTAATTACTGCTCGGTATTCTACTGGCTCCATTTTCACACCCTACTCGATCATAACACCTGTAAAAGTGGTAAGATTGATAGTTCGGTGCTGCAAATTCAGACATAACCCATAGATACATGTATCATTACACATGTGAAATTTCAACCAAATATGATAACCCTAAGTGGTTTGGGAGAAATCTTTAACTAACACCCCTCGTACCTCAGTAAGTCAATCACAATGACAGAGCGTCGAATACATTTACATCAAGTACAAGACGTCAAAATGGCCGACACGATAAACGTGACGGGAGATATTTTCGAAGTTGTTAATTAACCTGTGGCTATTTCAAGCCTTTGTCATCACTGATCAATTGGCTGATCATTGAAAGGTGATTGAAAAGATGTGTCAAATAGATACTTAGGTAAATTCATAGATTGCTGTAGATTGTCACTACAATAGTTTGGATTTTTTTTTCGTTTTTATTTTCTGGGATGGGTTGTAGCGAGGATGTCCTTGAACGGGCATGCAACCAAACTCTCTGACTTATCACAGAGTAAGCTAAGACGCTAAGTTCAAAATGAAAGGGTCTAAATGATGAGAAACAATGCTTCTGTATGGATTCGTACTAGGGAATTCCCAGGGTTTTCCCTGGGAATGTGGAAGTAGTCAGTGTTTACGTCATTTCAAGAATACAGTCACGTGAAAAACGTCATGTGACCGACCTCTCGTCCAATGGAAAATACGTATATCGTGTAAACTTCCCATTAAAAATGAGTTATGAGTGTTATAACCAAATGAAACACAACCCATTCTCCAATAGAGAACCGTGCATAGCGGAGGGATATGTTATCATAATACATTTGGTAACATGGTTTGGTTTGACTTCTTGGCGCGTGTCTGAATTCCATAAACATGTTACATATCCTAAAACTGGTTTATCAGCAAATCTTGCTGCACTGCGCGCGACAGATACTAGAGCAAGGCATGCCAGTAATACGAAACCTAGTGCTTCCGAAAGGAAGCCTTGGGCATCACGTGCGTCGGGGGACCAGCGCCATCTGATTGGCCGTTAACAGTTGTACAAGGCGGAGCAAAAAGCATCGTTTTTCCGTCCATTTTACGCTTGAAAAACTCGACCCTTTTCCGGACACTTTCTAGACGCTCACCAATTAATCAATTTTAATAAAGTTTTAGTCGTTTTTCCGTCCAATGACCATATAAGGAAAAAAACGACGTTTTCGTGTTTGCAGTGATATAGAAAATCGCCTCTGACTGCAGCGTCTTGAAAAGAGAAGAGTGGCCGTGTGTGTCAAATGCTGCTCAAAGATCCGATAGCTCAACAATTGCCGCTCCCTTGGAATCAACAGTAAGCAGTAGGTCATTTAGCACACGGGCAAAGCTATTTCTGTGCCGATTGCAGTCCACCCACGCGATGCAGCCGCCACTGTTGCTACTCGTTCAATCGACTTGAAGGAGAAGGGTAGATTTGAGACTGGGTGAGAGTTCTTAAACAATTCTCGATCCAGCGATGACGATTTCATATTGATTCTCATAATTACTTTCACTACCTTATGTTGTTATTGATGATATTGTATGAATGATCATATTTATTAAAATGTTAAAAGTAAACCTTAGGTGACGTCGCACTGTTCTGGCAGGTTCATCAAAATGTTGGACAACCCAAATTGTTTTAATACAGGAACGCAGCGTCAATCCCTCAGAATGATCGCCACCTTCTAATACCGAAAATGCAACCTACGCGATGCCATAGATGCAACCAATCAAATGACAGTAACGTTTCACATTTATTCTATGTTTAGAAATACCTGTAAAATGTTACTTAAAATTGAAGTTTATAATGACATCTCGTCCAAACGGAATAGCTGAAATATCCGTCTGTCCGGCCGAGTAAGCAGCAGAAGTCTCGGGGTGTTGTCATCTTCGGAAAGAATAGTGCCGACAGTATCATGTACCTTCTCGAACCTGGTTCCCCATAGAATGTGACTTTGGCGATGTTATGGTTGCAGAAATCTTTCCTGTTTATGATGCTATTCTGTTCACATTATAACTACTGACATAAATATTTCCACTGTCCACCATGTGCACCCATTAACCATACGTATACTTATCGTTTATTTATCATAGTACATAGATATAATTTCAAGTCTGATGGCAGATGACGATCCTTCAGTTCCTCCGGCACAATATCCTCCTCATCTCTACACTTCTCGCTGTTGTCCTGGGAATTGTTGCTGGGATGGTGTGCCGGACGCTAAAGCCGTCCTCTGACACTATTCAGCTGGTGCAGTTTCCTGGAGATCTTTTCCTTCGTATGCTGAAGGTGTTGATCCTGCCTCTAACAGTAGCCAGTATCATTACAGGTAACGCTAAAACCTTCTTGTTACACATATTTATGAATTGAAGTTGCATCGTAAATCAGACACCACTTGTCATTGTCAACGTATTCCTGTGTTATTTACAAATTAATGACATCAAAACTGTCACTTTTTACAATTCCATTTATCTTACAAATTGTTAATTCTCGTTACGTCTTTATATCTTTTCAGTGTGAGTGAGTGAGTTAGGTTTAACGCCGCTTTTAACAGTATTCAAGTCATATCACGGGTTGTCAGGTTAATGTGTGAGGAGCCCGAAGTGATGCAGGTCTCATACGTTTACCACTTCGGTGAAATCCACGAGCACGTGTATGGTGCTGACAAACCTAGAAACATAATCGGGGCGAACCGGCATTCGAACCCACAATAATAGGTTTCTGGCGTGCCCAAGGGACGCAACTCTGCACAGCGAATCGTGGCGCCGTAGACGACTGGGCCACCCGTAACCCCAGCAGATACCGATACAGCTATATGAACCGTTAAGGTTGTTTTCCTTTATGTTTTATATGTATAGTTTTCTCCTCGCTACATGCTACATGTACAGCACTGGAGTACACGACGACACGTTTGAAAAGTATAGCATTCATCTTGTTCTGAAAAAGGACAATTACACGTGGATATATATAACCTAATGTTCAGTGACGTATGTCACAGTTATGAAGTCTTTAAAGACTACAACATGATTTGCTTTGCACTGGGAAGAACCGAACAATATAAATGTTTTTCGAAGGTCTGGGGAACATGAAAGGATCATGTGCCGGAAGGATAGGTGTACTGTCTATGGTTTATTATGCAAGTACCTCTGTTGCTGCAACACTGGTTGGCTTGACATTAGTCCTGACCATCAAACCTGGAGCTTACTCAGACTCGTCGGCAACCGATGTATTACACAATAACGCTATGGCATCAACAATGGACATCTTCATGGACTTATTGAGGTAACATTTTGTTTGTTTATTCTCCGCATTTGGGATGTGATGACATGCATCAGCGAGCATCTTACGACAAGTATTGGTTGCTGAAGACCAATTCGAAACAGGAACATCACAGGGCGTTAAGGTAGAGCAGCTCCAAAAGCAGATGCAGTTAATTAATCTAAACAGTTTAAATCTATGTATTCATACGTGTTAATACTTATTTAATACATGCGTTGACCTGTTAACATCAGAAATTATGAAAATCATTATTGGCGGATGAATGACATTAGCGCAATTTCTAAATCCCCTTTCACCAAAAGCATTAACAACATGTCAGTTATATACATATTGGAGACAACGGATTCAAATTGTATTTCGTAATGTTTATTTGTTGTTGAACGCCGCACCCAGCAATATTCCAGCTAAATGACAGCGGTCTGTAAATAATCGAGTCTGGACCAGACAATCCAGTGATTGACGTTATGCGCACCGATCCACGCAATTGGGATACGGGGTTGTATTTCGTCATGAATCTGGTACAGATAATCTGTTTAATCGCATGATGATAACAGCTACCATGGACATGTTTAGTATCGCTACATATTGGATGTAGAGTTTGTATCTGTCTCACGTGAAAAGAAACTTACTTATTGGAAGAAAATAATTCCCTATGTATTAGTCGTATACATCTAAGTCATGTTATGTAATGAAATGATAGTTCTTGACATGAGATTTTGGCTGGATATATCCGGCAATGTAGTAAAATTCCATTCATTCAGGAAGTGTAAACTTGTCTCTTTTCATCGTGTTCTTCAGAAACATAGTTCCTGACAACATAGTTGCTGCTACTATCCAACACTCACGCACTGAGATGGTTGTTCATGGAATAAAGTTACAGGACGATGGCAACTCTAGTTCTGGTTACCTGCAGGATACTGGTGGTGATTCCAGGAAGGTCAACCAATATGCTACGGCAAAGAAAACAGTGATGGTTGATGGGGCAAATATCATAGGTATTATTGGAAGTTGTTGCTGACGTTTCGAAATAGTTCCGTTGGCCCCTTTGAAATGAGTTTGTGAAACGTTCCCCGCTTCTGAATTTCTATACAGCAAACTCACTTAGTGTATTGGTATTACAAGGCTGAGTTCCTAGTAGACATAAACAAACGAGCTTGCACTTTTTGACCGGACAAACTTGATAAAATTAGCCAGAAGGTAGGTATTTTACTACATCTTCTTTCCTCAATTGGTAGTCGATAAACACGAAGTTCTAAATTTTAACAGGTTCAAGAATTGTTGTCTGGCTGGTTATAATAGATGACATTCAAATTAACACGAGGTTTCTTAATAATAATATTGCTTTCTTTTTTGAGAGGCACTTAGTAAGTATACGATATATGAATGAACAACTTCTGTTTGACAATCAGGAGCGGTGTCGCTCCTAACACCGTTATCAAGCAAGTGATGTACAGAGTATGGTTGACAAGCATATATACATGTGAGAGGCTGGACCTCATATGAGGTATGGTACCAAACCATCTCAAACAAGTTTTCACACTGTAAATGCAGTACCCCGAACAGCTAGTGCAACAGACAATAACGAGCATCACCAAGAAAACTCAGAAATCTCACCGTCAACAATCTGCACCCTTAGTGACCAGCCTCACCGACTTTGGAACAGTTGGCCACAAAATCCCGAGACTCTTAAAGAAACTGGCCAACACTGAAGTAGTTTTCAAGAGCAGTAACAGCATTCAGAACACCCTTAAAGCCACAGGCAAACCACCAGTCAGCCACAAGCTAGAGCCATCGGGAGCAGAGAACTACATTCCGTGTAATTGTGGACAACCTTAATGACATTGGTGAAAGGTCAAGATCCCTCAAAACCCGAAGTCTGGTGTTTTTCCTGATGTTTGGTCAAAAGCTATTATCATTCCTGTTCATAAAAAGGGGAGAAAAGTAATCCTGATAACTATCGTGGTATTTCACTTCTCCGTGTTATAGGTAAAGTTTACACGTCTGTTTTAAGTAAACGAATAACTATATGGGCAAACATCAAGAACAGAATACCAGAAACACAGGCCGGTTTCAGAAAGGGTTATGCAACCACTGACCACATTTACTCTGTATGCTATTATTCAGAAATGTTTATGTAAAAAGAAATCAAAACTTTATGCGGCATTTGTAGATTTTAGAAAGGCTTTTGATTTTGTTAAGCGTGATAAGTTGTGGAATCTCTTAATGTCTTATGGTATAAGTAGTAAAATGTTAAAAGCTTTAAGAAGTTTATATAAAAGTGTTTAATCGTGTGTAAAATGTGATCTAGCTTTCACAGATTATTTTGACTGCCCTACTGGTCTACGACAAGGATGTATTTTGAGTCCATTACTGTTTCCCTTTTCATGAGCGAATTATCTAATCAAGTTATTTCTAATGGAAAGCATGGTGTACAGTTATTCCCTGATTTTATAGAGATACTGTTATTGTTGTTTACCGACGATGTTATTTTAACATCAGATTGTGTCACGAGGCTACAGACTCAGTTGAATATTCTAGAAACCCACACAGTAAAATGGAATTTAACGGTAAATCTGGAAAAAACAAAAGTTGTATTCAGACGAGGTGGGGTGCTTTCAAAAAAGGATATTTGGTATTATTCATCAGGAAAATTCAGTAATAGTATATCTGATCTCGCACTAAGAGCAAAAAGAGCTTTGGTCGAATTGATTGCAACTTTAAGTAAAATTGATCTTATTTCAAAGTCAGTGTTCTTTAAGATATTTGATTCGCAAATACAACCTATACTTTTATATGGCTCTGAAGTATGGGGATTTCAGCAATATGACAAATTGGAAAAAGTTCATCTATTAGCCTGTAAGAAATTCCTGCAAGTAGGCCAACAAACCCCAAATGCTATAATCTATGGGGAAACGGGTCGCTTTCCACTGTACATCAACTCCTATGTTAGAACACTTAAGTTTTGGCTTAAATTAATTCATATGAATGAAGACAGATGGCCAAAAAAGGCGTATAATATGTTATTGTATTTAGATAACTGTGGACGCCATACATGGGCTTCTAACATTCGTTTACTTCTTTTTTCTCATGGCTTTGGTTTAGTATGGATATCGCAAACAGTTGGGAACCAGCTTTCATTTCTACGACTTTTTAAGGATACTTGTATAAACATGTTTTACCAAAACTGGAGATCAGTCTTAAACTCTAGTTCAAGATATCATTTATATGCAGAGTTTAAAAGTCTTTTAGAACCTGAAAAATATCTTTCAGTTTTGTTTGAAAGAAAATTTAGAAACATAATTGTAAGATTTAGAGCAGGTCTTTTAAAATTGAAGAATAATGAAGGCAGATATCTGTCGATAGAAAAGTCTCTTCGAATATGTCCAGTCTGTAATAATGGTGTAGAGGATGAATTTCATTTTTTACTCATTTGTTCACGTAATAATGATCTCACAAAAGAATACTTACTGGCAAAACTTTGCCGATATCCTAGCTTGAACAATTTCAAATCTATTATGTGTAATAACAATGAAGCAGTCTTAAATAGTTTATCACGTTTCCTATATTACGCTTATGCAAAAAGAACAAGTAGTACAATTCAATTATGATATAAGTCATGTGTCACGTTACTTTACCGTTGCATCTGTGAACAATTGGTATATTGTGAACTGTAATTGTATATGGGCCCGAGGCCTTCGTGCAAATAAAAGTTCTTCTTCTTCTTCTTCTCAAAACCTGAAGTAAATAACTTCAAGTCTCAGTCTCCAAAGTTTACTCTAAGTCACCTCTCGGATCATATCCGTGACAACCCCAGCCACGGCATCCAGTGAGACAAAACCAAAGTATTTTCAATCAACCTCAAAGACTTCAAAATCAGAAAACTCCAGGAAGCCATTTGCATCAAAACACCCAAACCGTCAGTCAGCCGTGATCAAGTCTATTACATTCCCACTGCGTACCATCAAATCATCAGACTCCCAAACAGTCATTATCCCTTTGTTTATGCTGCTGGCTTCACCTTACATCACCCTTTTGTGTATGTGACACGCTTCTCCATTCCAGTGTAACTACATCCCATTCTACTCAACTGTAAAAACACTGACTCACACCTGTATATATATCCCGATTCTTATCAAATTAGTTCCTATGTATCTCTCCTGGAAGTGGCCTTGAAATGTAATTGGATATAATCATGATCACCCATGATCTTAGCACACGATTAGCATGACGAGAAGCGGCCTTGCACAGTTGGAAATGACACCAGAAGACAAAAAAATACATGTTGTCTAGTTTTAGGCCCCACTGCCAAAGATACAAGTTTCTTAGACACCTGACATCCAGATTAACTGGCCGGTACTGGATAGATGGCTGTTTTTTAAGCTAAACATTTGTTCTGGTTTAAAGTCCTACTGCACTCACTGTAAGGTACATGTATACCTTCCGATTAGATGCGGGTCATGTATAGTCCTGTTACTGTAATGTTTGGGATCCAACTAAAGTATGAATATATATATCAGTGATTCACGGTATTGCTGAAATTTAAACTGTTAGTGCTAAATAGTTTGGGAGGCAAGAGTATTCAATATAAGAATTTGGGGAACATATTTGCGTGTTTTTCGGATGAAGGCAACTATCAGGAACAATCACCTGTCACGTGTGTCTCTGTATATTGTGATACTTGTCATCCAATAACTTTCTCATTACAGGTATACTTACCTACTGCATTGTTTTCGGTGTGACTCTCAGCCAGCTAGGTCGCCGTGGAGCAGTGGTGACACAATTCTTTACCGTCGTCAACATCGTCACCTTCAAAATGATCAGACTTGTCATGTGGTGGGTACATACAATCTTTCGGGGGAAAACTCATGACATTCACACACTCAAAACCACACACACACTCACAAACACAGATACAGAGAAAAAAGGACTGCCATAATATTGCTGCAATATTGTAAAGTGCGGCGTTAAACAACATACATACGGATTATCAATGTATTACTTTTCGCATTTAATTAGAATGCGTTTCCACTGCCTGTTTCTGTCAACGTTTTATTTCTCCAGGTTATCACCACTTGGCATACTGTTTCTCGTCATGGGCCAGATTATGTCCACAACTGACATGACAGAGACTGGACAAACACTGGCTATCTACCTTGCAACTGAGTTGGCCGGATTGGCAATCCATTCACTGGTGGTCCTTCCAGGCTTGTATTTCATCCTGACAAGAAAGAACCCATATGCCATATATCTCAAAGCAATACAAGCTCTGCTGACAGCCTTTGCGACAGCCTCAAGGTATATATTTTCACAGTTCTATTTTTCCCCCATTTTCACTTTTCATAAAATTAGTAATTGAGTTATGTATACCCGTCAGATCGAATATATTTTGAGTGATAATAAGTTCAGAATACATTTGTTCAGTCGTCAGTTAAAATACAAATTAACACGATGGACGATAGCGGGAAACATGTTATAAAAAATTGTATATTGCCACGGGATTTTCTACGTTTTCTGCAGAAACAGCGATGTCTTGGTAAGTTCTAAACTATGGCAATAATTCCAATTTTAACAAGTAGTCTTCATACTACCATGTACTTCAATGTAAGGTATACATCCGTGCCTTTGATAATAATTGAATAAGAAATAACGCTGAGAATAAAACAGCTGATTTTAATCATCTTATTTTGTTATTCCTACACTATTTTATACCAGTTTATATATTATACGTATACCAAATGAAATTCTACCATGCATCTATAAAACAAATAAAAATAAAAGATTTACCATTCTTATTCCGCCCCTTGGAAAATGTATGCTATCATTTAGCGCTTTCAGTCATCACAGGTGTTTATTTATCCTTTTCGCACAAAATTATAATACTCATGCTCTTAAAATAGGTGTAAATAACAGAGATTTGTTCCAGAAACAACAAATCATACCGTCAGCCCACAAGATATGTAGAAAATATGGTATAGTAAATATGATGTTAAATAGACTATAATCAAATATCTTTTTCATGACATAAATGCAAATTAAAACCGCACAACCATTCCTTGTAGATGTGTCTAAATAACTTATTTATGTTTTTTGCTTTTGCACACAACATATATCATACTTACATATAATGACGGCTAAAACGTCATGCATGTGTAATCCAATAGTAGGGTACATGAACAAGTATACAAAGGTATCAAATAAAATTATAACATTGTGCTATGTAGAGATCTATTGAAAAGAGAATATACATTATTAGATTTTTTTGTGTGGGAATTCGAAACCTCATATTGGAATAAGATAACACAATTAGAGGTGAACTCTATACTGGTTAACTGTCTATAGGAGTGACAGTAAGACGTACAGCTCGTATCGCGCTTTACACATGCTCTGTCAGTTAAAGGTAGGCCCGGTCTGGTTAGTGAAAGGAAAATAAATTAAAAAAGATCGCCAATTAGGCTCACTTTCATGCCTTCGATTTGACACAAATAATAAACATTTATACCTATATCTTCTTCAATCAATTTCCTCGAACAAAATCTGTATATATTATTCCAAAATGAAGAGTATAATAAACAGTAACGGTTTGTAATGGGCAGTTTGTTTCGTTTCCGAAAAAATTTGAAACGTGTAACGAGTTTTGGACTCATTGTAATACTACGCTCATACGACCATATTGATTTTCTATTCGTACATGATAGTACTACAGTATTGATAATACCAATGTCTAAATAGGGTTACAGATGCAACAAATTAGCGAAGGAATTAATGTATCGACGTCCAATGATTGACATCATGAGCATCAATCTACGCAATTCTGATACGATGACATGCATCAACCAAGTCAGCGAGCCTGATCACCCGATCCCGTTAGACGCCTTTTACGATAAAAGGTGAGGTGATATTGGGTTTAACGTCGCGTCATAAATTATTGCACGTTTATAGCGACGTGCATGCACGTGTGTGTGTGAGATACCATGCCGTAGTTTAACATAGATAAACCACTCAGACACAGTATACTGACTCCGAGCCGACCAGTCCTAGTTTTAGCTAAACTAGTTTTTGTACACTTTGCTGTTGTACTTCTCCTTCTCCTCGCAGCCATTTTGTATTCAATCTGGGGTCTTTTACTTCGCGTACTGCAAGTTATTCTTAATTAACAGTGGTTAATCCCAGAAATATTGAAACCTCGGTTGACTCAGGCCACTCAAATATTAATAATCCAACGCACGTAATGTTGCCAGATTGCAACCAAGAATGGTGAGCTCCGCCTGCTTTACATAACAGTCGGATCTATTTCCAGCGCTGCCACACTGCCGGTGACGATGCAGTGCGTCGAGAAGCGGATGAAGATTGATACACGGATTTCCCGTTTCATCCTCCCAGTGGGCGCCACAGTCAACATGGATGGCACAGCGGTTTATTCTGCCATCGCCCCTGTGTTCATAGCACAGTACAATGGAATCAACCTGTCATTTGGAGATGTCATAATAATAAGGTATGTTGGTGACCTTGCTGAGTGAGTGACTTGGATTGAACTCTGCTTTCAACAGTATTACAGTTATTCAACGGTGTGCTAGCTTACCTCGAGAAGGAAGCCCGAAGTGATACAGGTCTCAGAAGAGTTACAACTCTGGTGAAACCAACAAGCACGGTCAATAAATTGGATCATGTGGTCAATCTTGGTGACACGTTTGACGTAATATCAACCACTGAATTGTTTGACCCAGATTCGTGTTCTTACATGCTGCAATGAAACTCCAGCATGACAAAACAAACACGCGAAAATGCATGAGACAGAAACGTCTTATTTGAAAATTGGTTGATGAAAGATCAGCTTTGAAAAATAACTGCTAGAGGTAGAACGGTTCCGGAACCAAAACCTAACCGCACTCTCCTGAAACATTGCATGTGGACCAATCTCGGGGCATGAACCATTATTGATCAATTATGTATTATATAAAACACACATTGGTCGTCTGTATTGGTTGTTAGAACCCTTACAATACTCTGCTGACATGAGTAGTTGTGTGCAGGACTCCAGGACCGCTCCTGGCTTCTGATTGGTCGGTTTCTATGATGTCGTCACTTCCGGTTTCGGTTTGGTCACCTGACCTCTGATGACGTCAGGGCATTGTGGGTCATCCGTTTCCGGGAAGGAGGGGAAACCCAAAGAAACGCTTGTACAATTAAAAAGCTCAAACATTGAAAGAAGCACGTGTAAAAACCTGGATGTACAGTTTTTTTCTGGTGGTGGTGGTGGTGGAGAGCGTTGATGGTGGTGGTAGTGGGAGGAGGAGGAGGAGGAGGATCTGAGCAAAACAAAAACCAAAAACATGACTTTGCTGCTGCACCACTTTTTTGTGTTTTCTTCAGCTCAGATCATGGTGATATATGGTAGGATCATCATGAGCATGGTTCAGTTGGCCTTGGATCCCGGCGAGAAACAGTTGTGGACAGCCCTTGCTCTCCAGTTGTTTGGGGTACATACTTCCACCACCCACCTTGACCGCCACACCAGACATCCCCACCCACCAGAAGACTTCAACCTGATACCACATACACAACGTCATGGCTGCCACCTTTTTATCGAAACAAGACTTTTACATGACCCTACCCAGTGATGCCTCCATGGACATCTATCCAAACAACACTGTCAATGCATATGAAATCAAGTTGCCTTATCCTCTGCATGTGGACCGTCAACAGTGGGAGGTGGGCGTCAGCGAAATTCACTTTCCGATGACATGGTACAACGTCGCCCCACCCTTTGACTGGTTTGCGCTGAACCTCAAACTGAAAAAAGACACCCTTGTGTATGAAAGCGCGGGGAGTGCTATACCACAGCCACAGTTTGGTGTCGTCCATTATGAAAGCAAGAAGATTCCTATCGAGAAAGGCGTCTATTCATCTAAAGATTTGGTGAAAACCCTCAACCGTTTGATTCAGGAACATATTACGGGTGTCTTGAAAGAACAGCCCCCTGACAGAGCCCAAAGTGATGGCAGACGCTTTGTCATTGATGTCTTCGATTTGACATGCTGGAAGATGGAAAGGTGCGATTCCAAGCCCCTCAAAAAGTAGCAATCAATCATCCTCTCTTGGGAAATATTGGTGGACCACTCTATTCCACGGAAGTGATCATGCCAAGTCCACTCTCGAGAATGCTCGGATTTGTTCAACTGCCGCTCCTCGGTGAGGAGGACTATAAAACCTACACAGAGACGCCCGTTCCCTTGAGTGCCTTGGCCCAGTGGCAAGTGGGGGCTACTCCCATGACAAGTGGCTATGAAGAAATCACAGGTGATACAAAAGCGCATCGTCTGTCAGGATTTGATACTGTGTACATTTACACCAACCTGGTCGAAGATCAAATTGTGGGCAATACGATGGCTCCCTTGCTGATCTACGTGCCTGTGTCAAAGAAGATGAAGCAAGACAGTGTGGTGATTAAAAGCCCTCAGCACATTCACTACCTCGGACTGCGTCATGGTTCCTTTGACGGTATTAAACTCTATATCATGGACGACACTGGGCGACCCGTGCCATTCCAAATGGGAAAAGCCATCTTGACACTTCACTTCAGACGTCGCTACTAACACAGAAGCAACATGTTGGGACTCGCGTTGGCACACCCAGATGGATCGAGGACAGTTCGATTAGCGTGGGAATGGTATCAAAGTATACAAAAGAAGGTATCATCAATGTGGCAGTGCTCTCGGAGGTATCTTGAAGATGGCGTTGCCTTTCCTTAAATCTGCTGGCACATTGGTGCTCAAGATGGATAAAAAGATCCTACCCGGGTTGATGAGTGATGTGGTTGCAGGCAAACGCAAATGGTCAGAGAGCCTGAAACATCATTGAACAGCAGCCCTGATGGATGTCTTGGAGGAACGTGAGGAGTCGAGACCCTCTAAAAGACGTAGAGCCGTAAAGCCATAAAGCTGTACACCTCTTAAGACTGACAGTACACCCCTTAAGACTGACAGTACACCCCTTAACACTGACAGTACACCCCTTAACACTGACTGTAAACTGTCTGTTCAGCCCTTTAGAGTGACTGTAAGCTCATATAAGACTGTCTGTACATCCCTGTAAGGGGGACTGTACACCCCTGTAAGGCTGACTGCACAGCCCTTAAGACTGACTGTTCAACCATGTAAGACTGACTGTACAGCTCTGTAAGACTGACTGTACATCCATGTAAGACTGTCTGTACACCCCTGTAAGACTGACTGTACATCCCTGTAAGACTGTCTGTACACCCTGTTAGACTGACTCTTTGTCTCTTGATTGATCCAATAGGGTGTCAAACCAAGGGTAGAGGCTGAGTTGAGATGTTGTCAACGCTGTCTGTCTGTCAAGTCTGTGCATATGCTTGTTGTAAAAGTAAAGATAAAAGAGAAAGACCATGCTTGAAAGGATCAGTTGCCTTGTGTCAGTCACCCAGAACTCATGATAGAGTCTTATCACATCGTCAGTGACATGTAAGACGTCATGGAGTCCACATCGTGTTCAGAATGTGGGAGGCAGTTCACTAGACATGATAATATGGAGAGACATAGGAGACGGTTCCATAAACCTCTGCAACCCCGACAGGACAGCACTTCTCCTCTGGGTAGCTACTCTCCTCCACCACCACCACTGTCGCCGTGTGACAGTCACCCCGAACACAGGATGACGTCACGTGGTGGTGATCATCATGAGCTGGAAGAGATGGCAGACCGCTTAGGGGTCGCTCTTGAGTTTGTGCACAGCATGAAAGAAGCAGATCGTGCCGAAAAAGGGGTGGACCCGCATTGGCTGGTCATCGATGATTTGCTGGGGGACAATACGAAAGAAGAAGAAACGGAAGTGCTGCGATGGTTCACCAAGAAAAGTCATCACCGAAACACATCCGTGCTGTATCTCACTCAGAACTTGTTTGCTCAATCGCCGCAACATCGCACCATTAGTCTGAATGTTCACTACATGGTCCTCTTTAAAAATCCGAGAGATGCATCGCAGATCGACAGTCTGGCCCGCCAGGTGTTTCAAGGCAAAGTTCCTTTTCTGTGTGAAGCCTATGAAGACGCTACCCGAGAGCCTTACACTTACCTGTTCTTGGACTTGAAGCCCACCACGTTGCAAGACCATCGCGTACGCGCCCGCCTGTTTTCGAGATCCGAATTACCACTCGTGTATGTGCCGATCCTATGAGAAGAAGAGACTTTCATAAAAGCAGGCGAACCCCCAGACCTTCCTTCAGTGGAGCCACAGTCATCATGGGACAAAGACGATCTATGAATGCCATGCCACCCTCCCGAGATGTCCCCGATACCAAGGGGGTGTCTGAAAAGATGAGAGAAGAAGCGAGAAAAAGCACACTCTTTACAGTTTACAATCACATCATCATACCCGATGATGTCATTTGTGGAATGTTGTTGCAAGATCCTTCGCCGATATGACGTCAACCTAGCAACAAAATAGCAGGGTCGTCGATTGTGTATGATAACTTTGATAGTTCGTCTCAGTGATCTATCATCTCCACATGCCACTGACACACACCCTGCCCCTCCTCCCTCCTCCCTCCCGCCTTACTCCCTCCCGCCTTACTCCTCCTCCACCCCGCCTTACTCCTCCTCCGCCTCCCTCCTCCTCCCTTTCTCCTCCTCCCCCCCTCCTCCATGCTTGCTGTAGAATGTGACTATGCTTGTCGTAAGAGGCAACTAGCAGCATCGGAAGGTCAGGCTCGCTGGATTGGTTGATGTATGTCATCGATCACATTTTCGTGGATCGATGTCCATAATATCAAGCACTGGATTGTCCGGTCCAGACCGCCGTCATATAGCTGGAATATTGCTGGGTGCGGCGTTAAACAACAAACAATAAAAATGGTATTTCTGTAGTTTTTCTTTATTTTAGAATTTTCTCCATACTTTTCATTTCAACGGACTAGAAATGTTAAAGGGGTGTAATATGATGTCAATTGTTTTTGGTATGCATTGACGGACGTGTTGATAGGCTTTAATGTAACAATTTACGTGAGAAAAACACGTTTCATTATTAATGACTTTTGCGTCACGTTATAAACATTTTCCAGTTTAACAGCTGTTCTGAGCAGTATAGGATCTGCTGCTGTTCCTGGTGCTGGGGTTGCTATGCTGTTGCTTGTCCTAAAATCTATTGCTCTCCCGGATCGAGGCATCTCTTTCCTGGTCACTGTTGACTGGTTGATGTAAGTGATCCTCATCAGAATATGTAAGTGTTAATGTTTAGAATGTAAATGTTATTAGAATATGGCTAATTATAAAGGTGCATATAGTGATGCGTGATGATTTCATGTCTGGTTTCATCTCAACTGTTGTATTCCTTCGGTTGGGGTCATTTGCATATTAATATGCAAATAAAAAGGTGAGGTAGATACTACTTTCAGTTGAATCCAACAAAGCAGTTATTATGAAATATTTATTGAAATGTATTGTTACGTCCTTGTTGTGATTATTGCTAAGATACCGAAAATCAGTGTCAAAACAACACGTTCGTTTCATTTGGGAATTATATTGCCTGTTGTCACCGCCCGACTGCAAAACCTTCTGTTCTAATACATGTATATTACAACGCATGTTCAATAAAAAATGCACTGTTTAGGTACCAACGATGACAATACTTTTTTACAATACGAAAAAAATCTAAGAATGACATTGTATGATGAAAATATTACCACGTTTCGGATGAAAGGTATCCTTCTTTGGAAATAGACATCATTGTATTTAGCGAACCTTGGCACTTGCGTTATCAGTCTACTTTTGCAAACCATTCGGGGTGTATCGAAGGCGTGGGTCGTTGCTAGCCGTCAACAACTGATTCATCTCATTCTCTCTTTCTAGGGATCGTTTACGCACCGCCGTAAATGTGGCTAGTGATTGCCTGGTCGTAGGAGTTGTCTCCCATTACACGGAACTTCCTCCGTGTAACCCGTCAGAGACCCAAAGTGAGCAACAACAGGAAGAGCAGGAGATGCTGGAAAATGACCTGGTGTGAAGCCAAAACAGCTCCTTTTTCTATTTTCAAATTCGTCACATAAGAATCCATGATCCGTTAATTACAACTTAATTTTCAAACCCTGAAAGATATATTTGAAACAGATGGTTTCACCTGTGGATAGGGATTTCTTGTTTCTTGTTTCTTGCAACAAGTGTGTATTATTGTATTGTGTGTGTCATCGCTTCTTTCCTTATGATGAGTGCGTGAGTTTGGTTTAATGCCACTTTTAACAGTATTCCAGTTATATCACAGCGTGTCAGCTTAGTGTTTGAGGAAAGCCCGAAGTGATGCACGTCTCAGACGTTTACCACTTCGGTGAAACCCACGAGCACGGGTATGGTGCTGACACACCTAGAAACATAATCGGGGCGAACCGGGATTCGAACCAACAATCATAGGTTTCTGGCGTGCCCAAGGGACGCAACTCTGCCAAGGGAATCGCGGCGCCTTAGTCGACTGGGCCACCCGTGCCCCCGTTACTCATTAGAAGTTGTTTATTCTTTTTATCACATCTCTATCATATATCCGTGTGCTTCTTAGAACACCAAACAGACTATGATTGCATGAAGACTTGGTAGATAATGTCCATCACCCATATGTTTGCATTCTGTATGTTGACAATTGTTCAAAATTGCGGACAAGTGTCGTATGACTTGGGCAGTTCGAGTAAGCAGCTGCATGTGTGAGCTACAGGTCTACGAGCAAGTCTACAAATACTGCAACAAACTCCACATTGGGCCGCCCGTGCCCCCTTCTTATGATGAAACACAACGTTCATGTGACAATGTTTTGAAGTACTTGTGGGGAGGAACAATGACACAATAAGAGACTTTGGCAATCTTTCTAACCAACGACCCGTTAATGTCAATGTATTCCGGCATCCCAAAGACGTCGACGCAGCCATGGTCACAAGGAAGGATGAAGGCCAAATGATGCCATTCATTTGGAAGATTTGTTGCCTCTCTTTCAGGAACCATTGGGACTGCACAAAGTAAGAACAAGACTATACTCTGCATCACTGAAAAAAATTAGACAACTCCAGCAACCTTTGCTGATGGATGGGTCTACAAACAGTAAGAGCCCACAGTATCGACTCGATAGTTCTTGCTATCATTTTGAAACGTTTGGTCAAACCAGAAATACTTCACTAAATCAGACAAAGGCCGTAATTTCTTGAATTTGAAATTTGCAATCAAGGGATTTAAGTAACATTCTCAGACAAAAGTCATTTTTCGAAAATATCCCCCAATATATCAAATTTCAGGAACCATCAACTATTTTCGTTTTCCTATACAAACACAATTTCATCCAAGTTGTTCATTTGGAGAAAAACATATCACATATGAAGTGACAAATATTAATTTTGCAAGAAATAACATATAGTTAGATGAAATTATCAGGAAGCTGGACACTAGAAATTTACGAGATATATAAAAATACATTCCAAGTATGCTTCACAAATACTGGTGTTCGGTTTCGTTAGTAAGTGATTACGGGGCACTTTTGATCTGGTACTAACTTACTCTGCTGGTATTCAGCTGAATTTATTGGCTAGTTTTTTCATACTCCGTTTTTCTAGTAATTCGTGCATAACCTACCTTGACTGTCTAGTTTTGGGGGAATTTTAGAATTTCCTTGCTCAGTCAGAGTGGCTGAGTGTTTAGTCTATTAGACTTGTTTGATATTCAGACGTTCGCGTCTATTTTATTGTCCAAGGAACTTATTTTTGGTATAGGCCTTCCTTGTGTATTTCCTGTTAATTAACAAGGCCAAAGTTATTCACTCATGAGAGTGTTGAGTTGATTAACTCAGGTGTTAGTTGGTTGCAGCCGATTTAATTGGCTAACGATGCAGCTTGTTGATATCAAAGTGTTGTTCGAGCTACTTTCAATTTATTACTGTAAAACAGTTGCACAACTCACCTGCTTTTGTATTTGCTGATTATTTAATCAGCGATTATATTCAGTATAGACTTTTTTATCTCTTCAGTGTCGGCCTTTGATACTATTAGCTAATAGTAATAAACCTTTGAACCTATTACCACGTTTTCATTATAACTTTAATGTTGTTCAGTGACACCCCTGATCTCTGGAGCACAGTATTTATATTTAAATATCATTTATCTATTTTAGTAGAGAGAGAGAGAGAGAGAGAGAACGTATCAAACCTGTTGCTAGTAATTAAAGATCAATTGTAGACTTACACGCCTTAGGCAAAACAAACTGAAGTTGTGGTTGCATCATAGAACAAAAAGGAAGTATTTAATTCCCTATTGTGTGATTCTGGCCCAGATTGTGTTCATACGTTTGCTAAAAATAGCCTCTCCAAATTTAACAAGTTGTTAAAAAATGACGAAAGTCAGACTTAGTTTTTTTTGGCAAGAAGTGGTTTCACTATTCTAGTTGGCACCCAACATTAAATTCTTCACTAGGAAGGCATAAAAGTCTTATCAACACCTGGATTCTCGAGGGGAAGTACTACTTCCGAAGTGTCAAATTCGTCAAACAAAAGTCTAAAGTTATTTCCCTGACGTAGGTTGTTTTGGCAGGCACTCTGAATGATCTGATTAATGATATTTACGTGTTTAAATAATTTTCTGAGTGCTTATTAATTATGTTGTGCAACGTTATAGCAGATGCACGTGCACTTCATGTTCAATCACTTGCAATTGTTGACGAAAATAACTATTGAATAACTTTCTCTTGACAGATATCAAATGAACAGTCGCCCTGTGGAAGTTTTGGGTGTAATTTTCCAGTATTTGTCACCACGCATTTTGGTAATTGGCCACCGATGAGCTGATCCTTGTGAAAGTCTCTACCACCTCTCGGAATGTCATGGGCGGTCACTTGCACACGGGAAAGGGGATACTTGGCAGTCACCCCAGCGTTCAGACTGGACACGTGTGTTTCTCTGAGTTGACGGACATAGAATTCGGCTTTGGTCAGGGCTAGTTTGTAGATACCATCAGCAGCACACATGAAGAAGAATTCATCGGGACCTCATAGCAATTCCAGTTTCATAGGGACGCCTTCCACCAGATAACAGTCTTGAAGAAACAGGTGTAGACATCCTGTCAGTTCCATTTTTTGGTGGGCACGATAAGATCACGTCGCGTTCTGACGCCCCTATTTCTTGCTTTCGCATCTGCATCAGGATTGAAGGTGTCCATTTTACCAGCATGGTCAGCAAACCATCCATGACATTGAAGGTGAGATGTTTTGGCTCCTGTACCATAACTCAGAAGGGTTTCCAAGTAGGCTCTGTAAGGGTAAGTGCCCATGGATGGTGTGATCTCCAACTGATTGTGTCCCACTTGCACACACACTTCGCGAAACAGGGAATGCATCAAGTTGTTTACTGTAGATGCGGGGTTATCTGCCAGTATGGTATCCGTGCCATCTTCTTTCGTCATGCATAGACATACTCTCAGGTAGCACTGTTTCAAATCAATGTAAGTGTTCACAGGATTGGAAATGTTAAACTGGAGTGGTCCTGCCACAGAGTGTGGCGCCAAGGGACTATAGTGAATCCACTGACCCTCTTGCACCGAGGTGGACCCCAAGGGTACTGTAAAGAGATCCAACTGGGCCTTTGAACACTCACAAGCATCTCGGCGCATCATGCATGATGATGGATGGGTGAATGGATGGATGGATGTTCCTCCCTCGCTCTGCCTTTGAAGGACGTCTGGTCAGGTTTAAAGTCTGATGAGGACTGACCTTTAAACCATTCTTCTTTTCCTTTTATGCTGTTTCTGGAGGCGGGTGGGGACGTCTTTACGTCTTCTAGGGGTCTCGTCTCCTCACGTTCCTCCAAGACATCCATCAGGGCTGCTGTTCCACGATGTTTCAGACTCTCTGACCATTTGCGTTTGCCTGCAACCACATCACTCACCAACCCGGGTATAATCTTTTTACCCATCTTGAGCACCGATGTTCCGGCAGATTTAAGAAAAGGCAACGCCATCTTCAAGATACCTCCGAGGCCACTGCCACGTTGATGATACCGTCCTTTGTATACTTTGATGCCACTCCCAAGTTGACCGGACTGTCCTCGATCCATCTGGTGTGCCAACCCGTGTCCCAACATGTTGCTTCTGTGTTAGCGGCAACGTCTGAAGTGAAGTGTCACGATGGCTTTCCCCATTTGAAATGGCACAGGTCGCCCCATGTCATCCATGATGTAGAGTTTAATACCCTCAAAGGAACCATGCCGCATTTCTACATACCCACCTACCAAGGGAGAAGCCCCCTCTTGCCACTGGGCCAAGGCAGTCAAGGGAAGAGACGTCTCTGTGTAGGTTTTATACTCCTCCTCACCGAGGAGCAGTAGTTAAACAAATCTCAAGAGTGGACTTGGTATGATCACTTTCGTGCCATAGAGTGATTCGCCTGAATGGAGTGCTACTACTTCAGGGCCTTGGAATCGCACTTTTCCATCTCCAAGCATGTAAAATTTTAGACTATCTTAGGGATGCCTGGCAGCAATGACAAACCGTCTCCCATCACTTCGGACGCTGTCTGAGGACTGTTCTTTCAAGACACTCGTAAAATATTCCTGAATCAAACGGTTGAGGGTTTTCACCAATCTGCAGATGAATAGACGCCTTTCTCGATAGGAATCTTCTTGCTATCGTAACAGAGGGCTCCATACTATGTCTGTGGTATAGCGCTCCCCATGCTTTCATACACAAGGGATTTTTTTTCAGGGAGAGGTTCAGCGCAAACCAGTCAAAGGGTGGGGCGACGTTGTACCATGTCATCGGAAAGTGAATTTCGCTAACACCCACCTCCCACTGTTGACGATCCAGTTGCAGAAGATAAGGCAACTTGAATTCATACGCATTGACAGTGTTGTTTGGATAGATGTCCATGAAGGCATCGCTGGGCAGGGTTATGTAAAAGTCTTGTTTCGAATAAAAGTTGGCAGCCATGACGTCATGAGCAAGGGTAGAAAACTCTGGGTGGATGAGGTATCAGGTTGAAGTCTTCTGACGGATGTTGTGGGGATGTCTGGTGAGGCGGTCAAGGTGGGTGGTGGAAGTATGTATCTCAAACAACTGGAAAGCAGGGCTGTCCACAACTGTTTCTGTCCGTGATCCAAGGCCAACTGAACCATGCTCATGATGATCCCGCCATATATCACCATATTCTGAGCAAAAAAGACGACTTCGCTGCGGGGTTACGTCATGCCAAAACAACACCAAGGGGAGTGTCGACGCTGGGTATGTCATGGTGCAGCAG